CCAGAATATTTAAGTGGATATTTTGTAAGGAATTCAAATATTCATTCTTATAATACTAGAAGGAAAGATGATTTGCACTTACCTAAACCAAATCTTAGACTGGGCAAGAGATCTTTTATATACTCGGGATCACTGCTTTATAACAATCTTCCAGATCAAATTAAAAAGGCAGGGACCTTGTCTAATTTCAAGTCTCTTATACAAAGACACAGTTTTTAATAATTAATACTCATTGTACAATTAGGTTTTTATAATTATACATTTATATATGTACTATTACTAGTTTAGTTTATTATATTTTCTTATTGTGTAAATAGATATATTTATATACGCAGGGCCCCTATGGATACCAGCCTAGTGCTGAATGGGCCACCCTGCAAAAATAAAGTTATCTTATCTTATCTTATCTTATTGAGAATATTTTTAAACTAGTTTCAAACGCATTGCGTAAGCAAGCGATAAAGTCGCAAATCACGAAGGAAACATACGAGGAATTTAAAAGTTATCTCTACAATTCAATCTTTACCCCTAGAAGTAATAAATAACACAATTGCCTCAATGCCAAATCGCTGATTGTGTAACGGTGACCCGTTCAAACCAAAAGAAAATATTACATAATATGTATTCTCTCATATATCTTCGGATCGCCGTGGTGATCCGTCGTTTATTCTGCGAATACAATGCTTCAAATCGTATCCAAATTCCAGCATTTGTTGAATAACTTGTAGTGTTTAAGTGAATTAGTCAACAAACTTTGTAGAAGAGAAACAAAATATGTAATTTTGAGATTCTTAAATGGTGACCCGTCAAGGGCACATATGATCACTGATTAGTATGCTGATTGCATATATTTGATTGGTATGCTAATTGCATGCATTTTCGCTGAAACGTATGTCCGATAAACATAGACAACATAGACAGTTCAGATATTCAATGAAGAATAAACTCTGCAAAGCAACGCGGACATGATAGGATATCCCCTTGTTCATCTTGCGAGATTTGCGAGAAGAACTGAAAGCAACGCCATCTGACACTCATGATCTCGGTTTCAACACAGTCAACTGCACCCCCTCGCACAAAACTGAACTGCTCGTTGGCCGTGGCAAAGATTGGGGCATCTTTTTCAAAAACAATGTCTTGAGCATAGTGCGTCTTCGGTGCTGGAAAGCGTACCATCTGTCCCTCGAGCAACAATAGAAGATTATGCCAGGGAATAATCTGCGCTGACCATCGGAAATCATTCAAAAATCTTACTTCACAACTCTCGACTCCAACCCACGCGAAGCTTGTACTAGCAGGGTTACTAAATGTGTCGTAGATTACATTCAATGGATTTAGGATAAACGTTTTTCGCAGTTACATGGCCCTGTCACTAAAATGTTTCCCCGTCCTTTCTCTAGTAGTAACCGTACAGCCCCTACGAACTCAGATATCTCGATATTGTTTCGCATGAGTATATTTCTCGCGAGGTCTAGCCATTTCTTGTTGCAATTTAAGATGCAATCTGCTTCAAAGGCTACCTGCAGACGCTCTAAACGACTTTGCCGGTACCGAACTACCAGACATGGTGCTTCTTTTAACTCCCATCCCACTCGGATTGCTTCGTCGACTGCCTTGGAGCCCCGGTTGGCTATAAACTGGGCGAGGTCGGCTATACCTTCTCTAATAAACTTTATTTGATGAGAGTAAATTAACATTTTTACCTGAGAAGTATTCTACCAAATGGCCCTCTAAAAATTCGATAACCTACAGTATCTACAATATATACAAAGAAGCAAGTCTATAGTTGCATTTGACACAGACATATGGGACTATACAACTTATAGTACCAAATACGAAAGTAACTGTATTATTAAGCATGCATGTGTTTTTTTTAGTTTTGACAATATAAGTAATTAAAAATTAAAAGAAAATTCAGTGCTAGTAACAAATACACTTAAACTAGGTTTTTGCAAGAAAGACACGAAAATTGTTCAAGATGGTCAACCTCATGATTAAGATTAGAGAAAAACCTCTTAACTTTATACTTATATGCAGACGGGGAGTAATCGTTAAACACTTTCAGGTCATTTAATAAAGAATTGAAAAGTAAAACACCACTGTATGTGAGTTTGGTCTTGGAAAGATTAGATTTGACAGATGGTATTTTGAGATCAGTAACAGAGGAGCGAGTATATGCATCGTGCGATGCCCCGGAGAAACAAAACAACTCGCGCAGATCACAAGGAGATGAGCTGCGCAAAGTGCTTACAACGAGTAAAATTTTTCGCATCTTGATTAAGTTGTAGATGGGAATCCATTCCAGTTTGCGGAACAGATCAACAGAAGAAGTTGACATACTCTCGTCCAAAGCCAACCTAGCTGCTCTTTTTTGAAGTTTAAGCAAAGGGTCGATAAGGTCATTGCGTGCATTGCCCCAAATAGTGATGCCATAAAGTAAATGGGGTAGATAAAAGCATAGTAAAACTTAATTCTACATTTCAGTGGAAGGGTTGGGCAAATACGCTTAAACAGATAAAGCCTGGAATTAAGGTATTTATATATCTTATCCACTTGGTTGTCCCAGGGGAAATTTTTATCCAGTAAGATACCTAAAAGTTTGCCAGAAGTAATTTCTTCAATCCAAAAATCCTCATAAAGTATGCTATTATAATCAAGCTGTGAATACTTACGCTTTGAATAAATTTTCATGAATTTGGTTTTGCTAAAATTTAAAGCCATATGGTTGCTTCTTGCCCAATTAGAGGAGGTAATACACAAATCAGTCGACAAAGAAGCTTTGATATCAGGTAGCTCACAGCCATGGGCTAAAAGAGTTGAGTCATCCGCAAAAAGAGAAGGATGAGAGGTAGTAAGAAAAGATGGAAGATCATTGATAAATATTAAGAATAGTAACGGGCCAAGAATGGAACCCTGAGGGACCCCAGTAATAATTGTTAAAGGTTCAGAAAGGACTTCGTTAATTTGCACCTGTTGAGTTCGTCCTTCAAGATACGAAGCGAACCATTTTAGGGTTAGGTCAGTAGCCCCGTACGCGTGGATTTTTTGGAGCAAAATATTATGATCCACTAAATCGAAGGCTTTGGAAAAGTCAAGCGTCAAAACACCGTTAATTTCTCCATTAACAATATTGTTAACAAGGTATTCGTAAATCATGTTTAATGACGTTTCGCACGAGTGGCCAGGTCTAAATCCATGTTGGTAATCGGATAGAATTTCATGCTCAGTTAAATATAAAAAATATGAATTAAACACATGTCTTTCAAGGATTTTTGAGAGAATAACCAGGATAGAAATTGGTCTAAAGTGGCCTCTTTCACTCATTTCGCCAGATTTGTGTATTGGGATTAATTTTGGGAAAAATACCTGTGCTGATGCTTAAGTTGCATATGGTGGTAACAGTATTGGAGATCATGTTTGCAGGGAACTTTAGGAAGTGTGCGGGAAGAGCATCAATTCCGGTCGCTTTAGAGGGGTTCAATTGTTTCAGGGAATCAGAAACCTCCTCAATAGTAATAGGGGGGATACTAAATTTAGTTTGCCTAACAGATAACGAGAAGGCTGACTGACTGTAGTCAACAGCCTCACTCATGTCAAACTTGTCCTGAATGTTGGTAAAATATTCGTTAAAGAGACTACTGACAATTGCAAGGTTGTCATATCTCACATTATCAATAACTAAAGATAGAGGGGGAGGAGCCTTATTAAGATTTATAGTTGATTTCAAAACTCGCCAAATTTGTTTAGAATTCGTAGAATTGTCATTAAGAAGTGTTTTTATATACGAGTTTTTTGCATTCCTGATCAAATGTACAGACTTATTGCGCCAAGTCTTATATTGAGACCAATTAGTATTGTGAGCATCATTCGCATTCTTCCGGAACATTTTAAGATAGTAATCGCGATTGTGTTGAGCTATGCGGATTTCTTCACAAAACCATCCCGGACGTTTCTTAGATTTGACTCGTTTTTTTATGAGAGGTGCATGGGTATTTAATACCGAATTAAAGTGTTCATAAAATATTTCAAGTTGATCGTCAGGAGAGTCAAATATTTCTAATGTGGTAGAAGGCAGAGTATCAAGGTCACTACAGAACCGAGATACATTTAAATGCTTAGTTCTGCGGTAAGTTATAGTTTGGTGATATTTCTGGTTACTAAATATGTGTGGATTAACTTTACGAGTTATATATATGGGGAAGTGGTCGCTAAGCCCAATCTCGATTATGCCACTCCTTAAAACATGTTCATGATTAGAGGTGTAAATATGATCAATTAAAGTCCCCGAGACGGGTCGTGTTATGTTATTAATTAGTTGTTTGAGCTGATATTGTGAGACGAGTTGGCGTAGGAATCTATATTTGCTTTTATCAAGCACATTACAATTGAAATCACCAAGTATTAGGATTTCTTTATGCTCATTGTCAGCTATTTTCAACAAGTTTTCAAATTGAGCTC